TTATAATAAAAATTGTTATTTACAAAATTTTAGTATATATTATTATATAAAATTTAGTTAAAATTAATTATTTTAAAAAAGTTATTTATTATACTTCTATATATATATTACAAAAATATACTTCTAATAAATATTATTAAATAATAATTTAATTTAATAAAAAAATATATAAAATATTAGTATATATTATATATATAATATTTTGATTTGAGTAAATAATTTAACAAATAAATTAAAAATAACATTTTTAATATATGATAAAATAAATAATTATTAATATTATTGATAAATAATCATATTATTATATGAAATTAAAATATTTGTTATACTTATTTGAATAGAATTATAAATATATAAATAATATAATTTTTTGAAAAAAATTAGAAAAATTAATAAAGATCATAATATCTAATTTATATTAATTTAATTAAATAAATATAATATGTTTTTTTTCAAATTTATGTAAATTTTATTTAAAATCAAAATTTTTTATAAATTATAATTTTACATAAAATTAGAAACTTATATTAAAAATTTTTTAATTATATATGAATTTTTATAAAAAAATGTTATTTAAGATTAATAAAAACAAACCATTTTTATAATAATAGAAATTTATTATTATTTCTTATTCTATTATTTTTTTTATATTATTATATTCTAAAAATTAATTAAAATACTCTATTAAAGTTATTAATAATCAATTATGTAAAATAATACATTTAAAAAATTAATATAAAAAATGTTAATTTTATTGGATTAGTAATAATCTACTTTAATAAAAAAATAATATAACAACTATTTTTATGAAATTTTCTGATTTAAAATTGATCAACTTATTATTACTCAAATTATAAAAAAATATGCAATTTTAGTAACATATTTTATATATTATAAATATTTACTTGAGTATCAAATAGAATAAATTTTATTAAATATAAAAAATTATTAATATTAAATTACAAATATGAAGTTTATTCTTATTAATCTAGAATAAAATAAAGAACTTTTATATAATATTTATATATTATATAAAGTATCCTGTTATCTGTTCACTCAATAATTGAATTAATGCTGATTGACTTTTATAATATTTTTTAGTTACAGTAGTGGTCATAAGTATTTGACTGTCTCTAACTCTGGCTACAAGTAAATAAATTCAAAAAATTTTTTTATTTAAAAAATACATAACTAACTAATACATTATATAATCACCATCTGACTCTATAAGTGCAACTGTACACTTTTTCATACTAGCTACTAAATTTGCGATAAGTATAGGTAATAATCAATTTTATTCTTTTGTAAGTTCTTCCTTTAATCCTCTAATTGATTGAATTTTTTTTTGTATATTAATTTTCATTAACCTCTAAATATTTCTATAAGGTTTTAGTCTAGAGACATTGATGATCAAGAAAATACCTCAATGCCATTTTCTTCCTTTCATTTTTTCACGATTTTTGATCAATACTTTGAATCATTATCTTTTTGTAAGATCTAATCTATGTTACCTTTACCAAAAAGTTTAGAGGTGAAAGTCAGAAAATTCTGCTCATAAATAGTACACATAAATTCAGCATTAAGATTCTTCTGAAAGTAAAATAGCTTACCAAATCTAGAAGCAGAAAACATTTCCAAACATGAACTTTTAGTGGGTGTTTAACAAAATGAAACACTTTTTTTTTACCAAGAAACTGCCAAACCCTTTTTTTTATGTATATAATTGAAATGTACTCTCATCTATAAAATAACTCGATTTCAATCAAAATTCTTATATTTTTTTTATCTATTGCAACCTTATCTTTTAATAGTTTTCTTTAAGCAAAGATTTAGAAATTTTATTACTAAACTTTCCTCCAAACTTATAAAGACATTACCTTACTATTTTTACACTAAGCCTAACACCTCTTTCTTCCATTTTTTCTTGTATTTGAATGGCTATTATATTATGTTCTTTCTCTACCATCTTTACAATCTTATCATCTTATTTCGCGGACATTACACAAGGCTGCCCCAGTCTTTCTGAAGTACTTAGGTCCCAATTTTCATGATATCTTTTAACCTAATAAATAGCTGTAGACTTACTACAACGTACCTGTTTAGCAATAAATCTAAAACTAAACTTTAGACCAGCTGGGTGTTCACGTAAAAAGACAATTTCATATCGTTTCTCTAAAGAAAGTTCCATTTTTCAAGCGAAAGTTTGATGATCATCTAAATTTTTTTTTGTATCATTGACACTTATAAATTTACAGATGATCATGTATTATGTTACATTATATTTCTGAAAAATTTAAGGGGTAGTTATATAATAATTTTAGATGATCTTGAGCGGTTGGATACTTATGACCACTACTGTATATCATTAAAAAAGAAAATACCTACCATATTTTACCAAAAATAAGCACAAATATATTTATCCAAACCTGAAAATAAGCACATTTGTAAATTTAATTGTAAAAATTTAACCAGACATATTATAAATGTGAAATAATTTTACAAAAAATAAGCTATTATAATTTGTTAAAAGTATTATTGTTAAAAACTTTCGTCATCAGTTTCACTTGTTACCAATTCCTCAACCTCTGATTTTACTATATTGATTTCTAATTCCGTTTCTTCATTGATTTCTGATCTATTAATCTCAATTTCTGATTTCTCTCCATCTACATCAGAATTTACTAGTGAATCTGTTATACAACACTTCTTAAAAGATTTAATAATAATTTCATCAGAAATTTTCTCCTATGATCGCTTAATCCAACTACATATATCGCTTATTTTAGCATGTCGAAGGTTTCTGTTAGTAGTATTTCCAGCTCTGCTACTTGCTATTCATAGATGCTACTCTTTTTAGAGGTTATCCTTAAATGGCTTGTTGATTGCAACATCGAGAGGCTGACAGATACTTGTTAATCCGCCAAGAATCACTACTAAATAAACATTACTTTTGCAAAACTTATTTTTGAATGATTCTTCCAGATAGCCTTTGAATAAGTCGTATTAGCATTGTTAGATTCCCAGATCTATTATTATTAAAGTAATCAATGTAATCCTTTATCAAGTTAACATTCATTCATCCATTCTTTTAGAACCAAACTATTACACCAAAAGGAATTTTTTCTTTTTTATTGCGTGCCAATCTCTTTCCTTTAAATATGCAAATAGGAGGTAATTTTGTCTCATCTTATTAAATAGATTCAAATTTAGTAAGATTAAAAACTACAAAATTTGCAAAAACTACTAAAATATATAAACAAAAACAAAATTTCAAAAACTTACCAGCAGCGCATGTAAGAATAACTGTAAATCAATTTTTTCATTTTTAGTTTCATAAACATGTACCATTTTTTCACCTCTTTGATTAACTAAAATTACCTGCCATATTAAACCAAACAGGTGTTTCGTCTATGTTATAAATATCACACATTTCAAAAGACTTTTCTATCCTAAGTTGGGTGACAAACCTATTAAAACTCTTTAGCAATTCTTTAGTATATTCTGGAAGTTTCTGAGATATTTTTGTGTGTTGACACAATACCAGCCCATATCTTTTCAAAAATTTACGTAACCAGCTAAGTGATGCTTTAAAATTATTTATTGAATTATAAATGGTTGATTCACTTAAAATTTCCTTCATTTTATTTTGTATCATTAAGTAATTTACAGCCAATCCTTGCTTCCGTTATCCAATAATCCAATCATATAAAAGTTTTTCAGCTTCGGAATATAAAGCCTTTTGATCAGAACCAATTTTCTTTTTTTTGCTATTTGTCTTAGTTGTCCAGATCTTGCTTACTCCAATCCAATGTCCAACCATACTAATATTAAGATTAAAGTGGTTTGCCGCTGCACGTCTATCATGTTGTTCTGCATAATTAACAACTTTCTTTTTCTTTTCAATAGAATATGAAGTTTGTCTAACCTTTCTAATAACTTTTATGTTTTTGTAGCATTTTTTTTTAACAGGTTTAAAACAGGTTTCGCGTTTCATGATATGATGATCATCAGGTAAGATTTGGCGCAGCTTTATATAAATCACGTGAATTACCCGAAAATAAGCATCTCTATAATAAAAAGGTGTGCTTATTTTCGGTAAAATACGGTATTTGTATTTTATTAATTTAATAATTTATTTAATTTAATCCCGAATTAATATTATTATAAATATTAAGTAATATATCCATATATTTTTATAAAATGGCGGATTAATAATGTAAACCCAATAATGTCAAACGATTAATTCGATTTTAAATGACCATGATGATCTCTCAATTGAAAAATCTAAAATCAATTTTAACCCGATAAAAAAAAAAAGAAAAAAAAACCCCCGATTGACTACAATTTTTTAGCATACTAGACATTATGTATCCAGTATTGTTAATAATAATTGATTCTACGGAGAACATTAAAAACACGGTATAAAACCCCGAATTTTTTTTTGTGAAATCATGTGATTTGTTGATTCGTTGACGTATAGGTTTCAGGTTGCAACTAAAATACACACAAAACATGTGATTATTCTACTACCGTCCAATCCTATAAATAAACATCATAAATAATTTATTTATAGAAATTTTTAATACAAAACATCTTTTTTTCTTTTTTTATTCTTATTTCTTTTTTTTTTTTTTTTAGGTCTTTTTCTTTTTTTTTAAAAAAAAAAAAAACTTGATAATTTAATCCAATCATTTTGAATCAAATTGTAATAAACCATTCCAATTGTTTTTTAAATAAGTTGATAGCCAGAAATCATAGCAAGCATAGAGAGAAGCAATCATAAGGACAAAAATCGAATCTTGACTTGAATAGAGTGTCAATCGTAAGACCAAATAAATGAGTCTAATGCAATTTTTTTTAAAGAAAAGGAAAATTTTAGTAAGAAATTTTACCCAATGTACAAATAATTAAATAATTATCATCATTAAGAAAAGAGAAGGTGGCCAGCTGATTAACAACTTCAAAAGTTGTTCGAGACTAGCCGAATATATGCAGTATGTTTACTTGGTACCACACCATGCGAGAGTTGCGCCACGAGATAATCTTTGTGTAGCCTGGATCTCGATAATTCGCCTACAGATAGTTGAACTCTTTTTTAGTATCACGATCATTTTTCGCATACCATTTTTGTAATATTTGAATTTCAAATGGAGATATTTTTGTTTCATCTTATTGATGGAATTGGACCTGGGAAGAAGTATCGGCATGAACGCCTTCAACTTTTAGAGCATGTACCGGTATCACAGGTGCACCAGGTGGAGGGTGTCTCTTTTGTTCATTTATCGGTAATTTCAAAGCTTCTTTAAAATCCTCTTTATGCACATTAGCATCTTTTACGAGGCAATAAGCCTGAGGTAAAGATGATTGTGATGATTGTGATTGTTCTGACTTTGTTTGCTTAGTTAATGGAGCAGTCGACCGCATTGTGAGAGATTGTTGGGTGATTAATGGCTGTAATGTAAAGGAAGGTTGTGCAGAAGGAAATAATTGTTGAACTGACATTGGTTGGTGTTGAAAAGAATAAGTTGATTGTTGTTGTTGTTGATAAAACTGAGGAATTGTTTGCTGCTGTTGAAACATGTTTGTGGGTGATGGTTGCGGAATCAAATTGATTGGTTGTTGTACAGTTGATTGTAAAATTGGTATAGTAGGTTGTGGTAATGGTTGTAAAAGTGGAGGTAAGTTCGTAGGTTGAGTTTGACGAGTCTTTTGTTGTTGTAATAATTGTTGAAGTTGCAAATTTTGCAATAATAAATGAAGACGCTGTGACTGAAAAGCTTGTTGACGACGCGACTGCTCCATAATTTCATTAATTCGTCTCGTCCACAAATTTTTTAATTGATCAAGTCCATTTTTTGAACTTTTTATTGAGGAGTCTTTGCTATTCAATAATTCTTTATATTCCTTTTCTGCAAGTTGTTCGAGATGTTGCTTTGTTTTATCTTCGATAGTTTTTTTCATATAATCCACGAGTTGGTCCATAGAAGCAATGTAAAATTCCTAACGTTTGTGTTTAAGAAAAGTTATTATAAAAAAAATAAACAAAAAGAGGAGTGTTTGAGACAGTAAACTTACCCGAGAAGTTGCTTTTTGAAAGACACTTTCTTCCACCTGTTTGGCGCGATTTAATACTTCTTGAAAGGGTTGAACAGCATGAGCTAATTCCGCAATTCTGAGAATGTTAGTAAGTCTTTCGTCTGTAGAAACAAGAGAACGCCAATCCATTGAAGACTATTAAATTTTAAATTTTAAATTTTAAATTTTTTTGATTGTTTGTTTTAGTTTTCGCGTTTGAAACAAAAAGATTTCGATATTTTTTTTTTTTTTTTTTAATTTTTTATCCCTAAAAATTTTCTTATAAATCCAAAAATTCCGTTTATTTATTAATTTATATAGTTTACAATCATATCTAAAGTAAAAGGTCCTATGATGTAATATGACAATTTGTACATTGGCTACCAAATAAGAAAATATTTAGATTGTCCTTATATTAATAAAAAAATTTTTTTTAACTATTTACAATATAAAAGTAGAGTAAAATTGTTAGATGGAAATGAAAGAGGCTTTATATTTTCTAGTGCCAAATATGATGACTGAAAGAAAGTTCCCGTATTTGTGCCCAGTCCTGCGTTATCTTTTTCGGGATTAATTAAGTGATGGTTCACAACCATATTTGATAGGTACCCAGTATTAGTGAGGGGTTCTTTTGAACCCGAGTTTTGTTGATCTTTTTTTCTTTTATTTTTTTTTTATAGACGAAAAAAAAAATGATCCGGTGATATGGCTTAATATTTATGATGCGATTTATTATTTATTGATATGATTGAATGATAATGAAATAATAACAATGAACTTAATCAAAACATGATAAAGTTCTATAGTACAAATAATTAAATATTTTTTTAAAATCTAATATGAGATGAATGACCCTCGAATATGGTGCACAGACAACTTGGTCAAATTTAAATTTCAAATGCCCGATGTCGCAATGTTTGGTACCTCGATCCCACGACTTTGTATTCACTGCTTTATCACACAATTCAAAACGGATGACAAATAACCAGCCTTGACCCTACATATATGTGGGCTATCCCGAGCATCATTGAGGCTAGCTAAAACTATCGGAAACTAGACTAATATAATAACTGATCTTTTCTTTAATTTCTGTAGACTACACGTGCAGAAACATCCAGGTCGTTTGTTGACAGATGTTTCTTTACTTCTCGATCAATAAACATTTTGGTTCTAAAGATGCACTAGTATAAAAACATAAAAGATATAGATAAATAAAAAAAAACCAGTCTTCATTGATAAGGTAAAGATTCCTTTGGTCATCGATAAAGATGGTATGACGACGCTAAAAAGTACGGGTTGAAAAGCTTCTTTTATGAGGCAAATGAATTCATTTAGATTAAAAGCCGATCTTCCTAACTTTGGACAGATTTTCTTTTGAACTACTGTTGATAATATAAATTTTTTCCTCATTTGGAATTTAACTGAGGAATGTTAAGGAAGAATTGATCCTTTGAATATTCTCTAAAATACAACTAATATTCTTTTTAGAAAATTAGTTGCCTTATTTTGACAATTTGTAAAGGGATTTTTTTTTTTTTGTAAGGAAATCCACGTAAGTCATGATTTGCTAGGCCCATTCCCAAATACTTCGATTATGATCGTCAAAAAATTTATTTTTTGTTGATCTAATTTATATGTAGTGAAACAACATCTTTATCCGGATGGCAAAACATCGATATTCCTTATTCGAAACATTTCAGTGACTCTTAAAACGTCTCAGATTTCATGATCTAGACCTTCATTATTGATACCGGATTGATCTCATTGTTACCAAATTTTTGACCATTGTGATTACTCTCTCGAAATTGATTATCAAATATTTCTTGATTTGGTTTCGTAAAGCATGTGTACTAAATTACCGAACAAAGATCGTGATCCGATGAATTTGATGGTTACGAAAATTTGGATTGAAGTTCCTTTTTAAAATAATAGTTACAATTCAATATCATCCACCTTCCGACATTTATGACTGTTTGAATAATTACGTAAGATAAACTATAAATAAACCAGCAAACAAACAGGTATCATAATGAAACAAAATTACCGAATAAAGTTATTATTAGTTTTAGGCTTAGAATTTAGACTATGTTCAAAAGAATATTTTATTTAGACAAAATTTTTTTCTTTCAAATAATTCCTATAATAAGAATAATGACTATCATTAAAATAACATCCTTAAAATGCATTTATTGCATGATGGGTCACATGAAAGTTTAAAAGTTATATATATTAACTTTTTAATATAGCTTTTAATAATTAGTTATTATTATTTATTAAAATTACTTAATAATAGATAAACATAAATCCTTAAATTTACTAATAAAATATTATATAAAAAATAATTAATTTATAAAATGTATTAGTAGACAAATTTTTCTTAAAAATTAAAAAGATAATATTAATTTTAATATATATCAGTTTTATTAGTAAATATTTTTAAGTTTATTAACAAGTTTTAAAATAATTCAATTTAAAGTTAATTTAAAAAGTTTATATTTAAAATTTTTATTAAAATTTTTATATATTTTATATATTAATATAATAATTAAATTATTCTATTATTAATAATAATCATAAAATTTATTAATTAAAATAAAAATTTTCTTTATAGATAATTTTATAACATAGTATTATAATTAAATTATTATTTCTTAGATTATCTAATAGGCAAATTTGCTTATATTTTAAATTAAAAAGTATTAATTTCTTAATATTAATTTTAATAATATAATTATATAAATTATATAACATAATATATATTTTATTAATTTTATTAAAACTTATTTAATTTTATTTAAAGATTTATAATTATTTAAAATTCATATTTTTGAATCAATTTATTATTAATAAAATTATATTAAAAATTTAATAAATTATAATAATTATAATAATTATAATAATTAAAGATTTTTTTTATGATAAATTTTATATTATATTATAATTTAATATAGTTAAAAATAAAATTATCAAATAAAATTTATTTAAAAAGTTTATAAATTTTTAGTTTATAAGTAATTTTTAAAGAAATATTTTAAATACTTAATAATTTTATATTCTTTTATATTGATATCAAAATTAATATTATTAAAATATTATTATAAAAGTAAATTATACTCAATTATTATATTTAAATATATAAAATATTAAATTCTTATTAAACATTTTATTTAAAATATTAAATAATAAATATTGTTACAGTAAATTCTTTATAGTATTTATAAGTAATAAGTGAATACAATATATTAAATAGTAAATAGAAGGTTAATTTTATAATTAGTTTAAAAGTAGTATCAATGATAGATAATTTATTTAATAATGTAAATAAATAAAAATTATTTCAATTAGCACTCTATACTATATAAATATTTTAGAAAAATAAAAGTAAACTATATATTTAAATTATTTTTAAGATACTCTATTCTACTAGCTAAAGTTTTATCTTATATTTATATAAATTAAATATATATAATTATTAAAAAAATAAAAAAAAATAAATATAATAAATATAACTAATAAATTTATGTAATAAAATATTAAAGAAATAAAAATAATAAAAATAATATATGATATAAAAAAAATAAATGTTATAAATAACATAAAAGATATAAAAAAATTTTAATAATTTGTGATTGTTATCATTTTTATAATATTGATCTTTAAAGTCTTTTTTTATATAATAATTTATTAATAGAATTTAAAAAACATAAAAGATAATTATAAATTTAATTTTAATTTTGATAATAATATAAATAAAATATTTAAAAAAATATATTTAATATTAATAAAAAAATAACTTTAATTTTTTTAGAAATATATATACAAAAATAATAATATGAATATATTATAATAATAATTTATAATATATATAAAATAAGTATAATTTTAAAATATTAATATGACTTTTAATAGATTATATATCTAAGAAATATAAATATAATTCAATTAAATAACAAATATAATTTCATTTTATTTAAAATTTATATAATAAATTTGATATAATAAAAGTTAAAGATTTCATAAATAATACTATTGATTTATTATTAAGTTTCAAATGCTATTTTATATTATAAAAATTTATTAGTTTAAAAAGTTATATAATATTTTAATTAATAATATAATTACTATACATAAAACTGAAATAAACCTAAAAGTCAAAATATTTCAACTTGAAAATTATAGTCAAAATTAAAAGTCAAATAATTGAAATTACATTATTATATCACATATTTAAAATAATTAAAATATAATATCTCAATAATATCTTAGTTAATATTACTCTAATTTCATAAAATAATTACTATTTGAATCTTTTGACTAGACAAATTTAATAAAATAAAATCATTAAATTCTTATTAGATAAAATAGTATGAAAATAAAGATTCTAAAATTAAAATTTGAAAATAATAATCAAAAAATATTTTTTTCTGACTTAATTCTTATTATAGATTGTAAAAATAGAAATCAATTTAAACTTCTTTCTTATTATTCAATATCCTAATATCTTATTTAGCATAAAATTATTCTACTAAATACTTAGAATTATATTATCTCTTATAGTCTTTCTAATCTAAATTTAATTTCTTTTAATATATCAAAAAATTTATGCTATTTATTACTGCTGAATATAGTTTTATTTTGTTTGATTATATTTAGTAATATAATCTATTTAAGCTTAAAATACATATTTTTTATTTTTTGATATTCTAAAATTAATTCTAAAAGTGATTTATTAATAAATTTATAAAGTCAAAAAGTCTAACTTTAAGTGTAAAAAAATTCAGATTATATAAAAATTTTTTTGAAAAATATAACATATCAAATATCCTAATAAATATCCAAATCCTATTCTAAAGCTTATTAATATATTGGATTATATAATATCTACTAACATGTTTTCTATAAAAATTAGATTTAAAGCTAGTTAACTTATTATAAACTTTATAAGGAAGACATACTTTAGCTTTTCAATATTCATAGTAATCTCAGATTGATAACAGATATATTTATAGATGCCTTTAATTTTAAGTAAATAATTGTAAAAATATTTGCTTAACATAATAATAAGAAATAAATATTTTATTTAAATAAAAAATCTTATAATATTAATACAAGTATTAGAGTAGTAATACCTAAGGTAAAAAGTTTTCATA